GCGATATGTAACATTTTTAAAATCGTAACCTAAAACGAGGGGCAAGAACAAATAAAAAAATGCGGAACCTACTTCCACTGAAGATTACAGCGAAAAACAATAATAATTAAATCAAAGTCGGACTTGCAGAATCCGCTGTGTGTTTGCGTTGCTACAAGCAACCTCTATTGAGACCTCGGTTCAAATGAGGTGGACCTTGGTCATTGCCATCACAAGGACCGAATGCGAAATGGAAATATTTTGTTGTTGGTCATCCCAAAAATAGCAACCCACGGCCGAAATTTCTTGCTGGTTTGGACTCATCAGGTGGAGATAGCCTGAGCTGGGCTGGAATTAAGAGCCTAGTGGTTTATGGTTGACGACATAAACACTATACCATTGAGATCAGCGTGCAACGCTTGGTACAGCGGAAATGAATTCAAAGTTGGACTTGGAGAATCCGCTGTATAGTCGGTTTGTGGCAAACAACCTATATTGAGACCTCGGTTCACTTGAGGTGGACCTCAGTCACTCCGATCACAAGGACTGAATGTGAAATGGAAATATTTAGTGGTCGTTCATACCAAGACGGGCACCCATGGCCGCGCTATTTTCCTGATTTGGACTCAGCAGATAGAGATAGCCTGAGCCTGGGTGAAGATCCTATCCTCCTTTCTAACGGCTGATGCCATAAACACTATGCCACGGAGATCTGTGAGCAACGCTTGGTACAGCGGAAATCAATTCAGCGGTGGACTTGGGGTATTCACTGTGTGCTTGAGTTGCCACAAGCAACCTAGATTGAGATCTCATTTCACTCGAGTTGAACCTCGGACTTTCCGATCACATGGACCGAATGTGAAATAGGACACATTTTGTTGTTGTTAATTCCAATACTAGCATCCTACGACCGCAGTTTCGTCCTGGTTCGAAGTCATTAGTTGGAGATAACCTGAGCTGTGGTAAAATTCAGAGTGTAGTGCTTCACGTAGGATGCCTTAAACACTATGGCACTGCGATCCGTGAGCAACGCTTTTACAGCGTAAACTAATTTAAAGTTTGTCTTGGAGAATACGATGAGTGCGATTGTTGTTACAAGCAACCTATGTTGAGACCTTGGTTCACAAGAGTACTACTACGGTTATTCTGATCACATTGATTGAATGTTAAATATAAAGGACCTTTTGTAGCTTATCCCAACACTGGCACCTCACTACCGCGGTTTCTCCGTGGTTTGGACTCACGACCTGAATATTGCCTGAGCTGGGTTGGAAATCAGAGCCTAGTAGTTCACGGCTGATGTCATAAACACTATGCCGCTGAGATACGTAAGAAATATTTGATACAGCGAAATCTAAATCAAATTTACACTTGTGAAATCCTCCGTGTGTTGGAGTTCTACTAGCAATATCTATTGAGACTTCGGTGAGTTGAAGTGGAGCTCCGACATTTGGATCAGGTTGGATGAATGTGAAATAGAAATAAATTTGTTTGTCAATCCAACGCTGGCACCCCACGACCGCTTTTTCTTCCTGGTTTGTATCATCAGATGTCAACAGCATAAGCTGGGGTGAAAAGCATAATCTAGTGTTTTACGGCTGATGTCGTAAATATTATGCCACTGAGACCCGTCAGAAACATTTAGTACAGCTAAATCAAAATCCAATATGGACTTGCGGAATCCTCTCTGCGGATAAATAAATAAATAAATAAATAAACTTTTATTCTCGACCATGCGAGACACACCATTACAGGCATGATCATGTTTAGCTAACAGTGTGATCAATAACGTACAAAAGTACATGTTTGGCATAACAATATATGTAAGTGTATGGGTGTGTATGCGTATGTAATTGTGTATGAATGTAGCTTGTGTCTTTGAATGTGCCGCAGCATTTTTGAATGTTTGTTGTCGTCAGGAATGTGAGCATAAGCGGTTGATGTCCTTGGGTTGGATAGCACTTTTCGTATATCCACGGGCCAGTGACTTTATTTTGTGGCGAGTCACATCCGCCACGTCACAGTGTTGATAAACAGACATTTGTGGCTTTTTATAGGGAGAACGCTTGCCAGGCGAAAACCCACCACGTCCTGGAACACTGCCGCCGAACTATTTGCTGGAACGGATTAAACCCGAACCACCCAGCTGGCACCACGAGGAGGTTGTTCGGCTACGAGCAACATCTATCGAGAGTAGGGTGACCTGGAGTGGAGCTCGGTCATTCCGAGAAAGTTGAACGAATGCGAAATAGAAATAAATCTTTCGGTCAACCAAAATCTGGTACCCCAGGATCGCAGCTTCGTCCTGGTTTCGACACATCAGATGTAAATAGGGGGAGCTGGAGTGAAAATCAGAGCCTAGTGTTTCAGGGCGCATGTATTAAAAACTATGCCACTGAGATCCGTAATCAACGTTTTGTACAGCGAAAACCGATACAAATTTGAACGCAGCATCCGCTGTGTGGTTGCGCTGCAACAAGCAAACTCTATTGAGTCCTCGAATCATTTTAGCTGGACAACGTTCATGGAAACATTTTGTTGTTTCGCATCCAAACACTGGCACCTCACGAACGCAGTTTCGTTCTGGATGGGCAAATCACATAACGTAAGCATCAGATAGATTAAAAAGCAGAGCCTAGTCGTCACGGCTAATGCAATGTACAGAGGCTTCAAGTGGAACGGGGACTTAATTCAGCACGAATATCAAAAAGAGCTATCAGTGATATTTTATATTACTGATAGAATCCCAGTAGCTCGAAAACAACAAACTGTATAACTTCACCTTCTGTACAATCCCCTCGGGTTTAATGCGGGTTTCCGTCATTCTTTACCACGCTCCGTCGCACTGCTGGAAGCATTCTTCCACGATGCTCCTTAATACCAGCGTTGCTTAGAGCAATATCAATTGAGTATGAGGGCTGTTCTATTATAGTAATTTTTTCTCGGTCAGTAATGTCCGGGTGCCCGGAGCGTTATGAGCAGGAGTATAGTCATGAAGAAGCATCCACGATTTGCTGTCATAGTTATCGTCTGTTAAAGCGCACTCAGCGAAGCAAACGTTTCAATAATAAGGCAACAATAATTGGCATAAGTGCGACATAGTCAATAGTCAGGTTTGAAGTGCATGTGACCCAGGTGCAGTAAACGAAAGTTCATAATCTAATACGGAAAAGAAAATAACGCAGTGCCAAACATATCTGGCGACAATTAACATGTGCCCAACATTTACAGATCACACAGTGAGGCTAGGGAGGGAATATTAACAGTCACTTCACAGTGGGAAATGAAGGGCCAGGTATCAGGTGGAGGAGTCTGCTGCTACAAAATGAACAAATTGGTGGTTTAACCGAGCGATCCACCTGTGCCTTTCACGGATGGGTCTGTAAAGTTTAATGCAATATCAGTAAACAATGCCGACTTTAATCTAGTTATCCTTAAGACGGACAACGCGCCCCGCAAAGTTGGCTTGTTACGGTGTTGACGACACCTAAGGAAAAGGTATACCTCGACCTCCCATTTAAGGGTAACCCCGCTTCAACGAGGGCAACCAAGCGCTTCCTCTACGTCACTCAGATAATGTAATGTGCTACAGATGCTGTGGTGATGAACAGCATAGGAACTTGAACCTATCAGCGTCAAATCACACAATACTCACTAATCCGATTATCCCTGCTGCGTTAGTTAGATAAGCAAGAATGAGGGGAGTTTTGAATTCCAGAGTGAATGAATCCCGGACCAAATGGGTTCAAGGTGAGGTCAGCCATTTCGCGTTCAATATTCCGTGTGCACGCAAACGTGAGCATGTTTTATTGACCCCTTATCTGCTTGACACCGGCTCCGCATTTCGGCTGCTATTACGTAATCCTAATCCACGCTTATTACGGTTCGCGTAAGCCGTGACGACAAGCCAGCTAAGACCTGCCCTGTGAGTGCAGAAACAGTCAGTTTTTCACCTACGAATACCCCGGTCTTAGGACGATTGCCGCCGTTCATCTCACAGCATTTCACTGATTGGGAACACCCTTGGGACTGTATAAGATAATTACTACTTATTGTATTCGTACTGATGAGACAATACGAAATGCGTGCATTTATCAGTGATCGTCTCCTCATTGTGTTATTCAAACTATTGGAGGGAAATAACTGTTGTAAAAAAAAACAGTTTATTTCTTGGCGGTGCGCGAGACTGTGACGGCATAGGGACAAAGCAATGCTGACATGAATTCCCTGAGGCCGGTCACACATGCAATTATAGTGTCCCACTGACGCAAACCGAACTTTGGCGAAGTATGTGAATGGATGGTATGTATCCGTTCACACGGGAGTTATACTGTGCGGCCAAATTCAGCAGCACGTAATGCCCCAGTTAAAACGCTCGCATGTGTTCACATTTTCCATTTACCTCTAATCACACTTACTTTACTTCTTACATCTTCCTTTATCCATTTTCCACCAAATGCACCACTATTTCCCACACTCACAATACTTACAAATCACCCTTCTACATGACTCTATTATTACTTTTATCAGATCTCCCTATAATTATCCTACAACATCTTCCCCCTCCCTTTACTTACCCTTACTATTATCTTTACCTCTCAATCCATCAACCCAATCCCTACTTAACTCACCCCCTCCACCCAAACCTCACTCATACCCACCACCCTTATACCACAACCCCCAATTCAAAATCCCCCCCCCCTCATCCTATTCACCTCCCACCCCCCACTCTTTTAATCCCTACCCCCCTCCCCCCCCAAACCCCCAACACCTTTACCCCACCCCATCCGACACTATTAACCCCCCAACCAACCATCAAAACGTTACCTAATCCCCACAAACCCAAATCATACCCCTCCAAACAAACACCAATATTTCCTTAATACCAAATAACCTCGATATATTACTTCACCACCTCATAAACCACCAAATCTCAATAAACCATACTTATTCCACTCACTAACACACCCCCTTTCTTATCATTCCCCCCCCACATTTACTTTATTCCCTTCTTCCATCCTTTAAATCCTTACCTCCCAACCATTTCCCCACCCCCCCCCCCCCCTCCCCCCCCCCCCCCCCCCCCCCCCCCCCCCCACCCCCCCCCCCCCCCCCCCCCCCCCCCCCCCCCCCCCCCCCCCCCCCCCCCCCCCCCCCCCCCCCCCCCCCCCCCCCCCCCCCCCCCCCCCCCCCCCCCCCCCCCCCCCCCCCCCCCCCCCCAACCCCCCCCCCCCCCCCCCCCCCCCCCCCCCCCCCCCCCCCCCCCCCCCCCCCCCCCCCCCCCCCCCCCCCCCCCCCCCCCCCCCCCCCCCACCCCCCCCCCCCCCCCCCCCCCCCCCCCCCCCCCCCCCCCCCCCCCCCCCCCCCCCCCCCCCCCCCCCCCCCCCCCCCCCCCCCCCCCCCCCCCCCCCCCCCCCCCCCCCCCCCCCCCCCCCCCCCCCCCCCCCCCCCCCCCCCCCCCCCCCCCCCCCCCCCCCCCCCCCCCCCCCCCCCCCCCCCCCCCCCCCCCCCCCCCCCCCCCCCCCCCCCCCCCCCCCCCCCCCCCCCCCCCCCCCCCCCCCCCCCCCCCCCCCCCCCCCACCCCCCCCAACCCCCACCACCCCCCCACCACCCACCCCCACCACCCCACCCCCCACCCCACCCACCCCACCCCCCCCACACCCACCCACCCCCCCCAACCCCCCACCACCCACCCCCCCCCACCCCCCACCCCCCCCCCCACCCCCCCCCCCCACCCCCCCCCCACCCCCCCCCACCCCCCCCACTCACCCCCCACACCCCTCAACCCACCCCCCACCCTCCTTCCCAGCCACACCACCAATTCCACCTCTCTCCCCCTCCCTCACTACCACACAATCCACTCTTCCCCCTCCTCACCATTCTCACACATCTTCAACTTTGATACACTTACGGCACCCTCCTTCAACTTTTCATTCCCTTTAGATATGAGTAGATGAGATAACCCCCCCCCCCCCCCCCCCCCACCCATCACAGAGATAGAATACGTGACCGCCAATCACCAAAAATCATCCTCCCCACTAAAATAATTCCACTACTTAAATACCCCTCTTCCATACACCCTCCGTGTTTTACCACTCAGTGAATTGTATAGTACTACGAGTTTTGTGCCCCACTAGATAGACGAGAGGATATACACCCCCCACCTCCCCTCTCCGCCACTCCCCCCCCCCCGTCCGCCCGATTTTCACATAACCCCCGCCCACGCTCCCTCGTGCCACCCCCCCCCCCCCCCCCCCCGCCCCCCCATGAAAATAAAAATTCTATTAACTAAATACAAAAAATAATAACCACTCAACACGAACACCTTTTAAGATAGTGTTGTGTGTGTGCCCATGAAGATATGATAGGATAGGAGTGTAGAAATCAACCTAGTAAAGTTATGTCCGTACTCGTATAATCAAGAGACGGCACACCCTATAGAGATGCTAAAGGACATGAGCATAGTGTGTTGTTCAGAATATCGTTATGTGCAATCACAAGATATTTTTGCGATCATTGAGTATTGAGGTCAAGTTCTTAGACATGCAATAAATACGTAGTAATGACACGCGAGCCG